CAGGTGGTGGGAAGGTCAGGTAGATTACAGGATAAAATAGACTATCTTAAATGGAGGGACAAACTAATGGAATATAAAGTAACCACAATGGGGTTGGGGTGGAGGGTTTACTTTGTGTGTTGGAGAGGGCAATACAAGAAGGGGGGAGGAGGCAGAAGAAAAAGATAGGGGAACACTGAGACAGGTTTGCATGGCCTAAGTGGGATAGAGGTAAACAGTGATGCATGCTCAACCTTGGAAATACAGGGCTCTGGGATACAGGAATCTAGGTATAGCTTGAAGGGGAAATAATACTAAAATGCTTGACTGTCTTGAGAATATTAGTTTCCCTTGCCTACTATTGTAAAATAAACACTTGAGTGGGATAGAAAGAAATGTTGGGCAACATGATTAGAGGAAACTTAATAAGCCCACCTTCAGCCTATAACTGATTGGAATACCTAAAAAGGGTTCTAGAACTTGCCCAGTGAAATAGGCCTCTTGCAAAGCCTTTGTGGCATACAAGACCTTAGGTGGAATCCTTAGTCCCATCCAGAACCTTAAGAGGTGGGACAAACAGACTGGGACAGCTACAGTGACAGAAGATACATCTTCAAAGAAGGATCATCAGAAAGAACCCTTAACAAAAATGTCAGCATGACTGGCTACTACAAGAATAAGCAAGCTGTTTGCCAGGAAGACACCAAGGCTAGCAATCAAATGCCTTCAGGACAAACTCCCCTCTAAGACTGAAACTCAAAGGGAACACACAAGCATGTAAGCTTGCTGGTGACCACATTGGTCTACTGGTGAGTAGAAGAGGGGGGAAAGCAGCAATGAAGAAATGGGCTGAGTTCAATCACAGTCCATTGAATCCCTTTGACCTGGAGATGAGAAAGAGAAGAGGAAGGGCTGGTTGGTTCAATCTGTGGTGAGAACTGAGGACACTTCAGCCCATGTACAAGGACTAGAGCTGAGAGTGAAGCATCCAGCTGATATGAAGTGAGGGGAGATGCACAAGAACACCCAAACTTGCAGACAGTACCCTTTTGACCTAGCCTCAATGGCTCAATAATCAGAACTGGACTAGAGGAAGATTGCAACAACAAATTTTTTTTTTTGGTAAAGGAAACAAGGGTAAACTACAATTTGATGAACCTAACCTCAGAGAGGTAGTTACTCTACCAATAGAGAGGGAAAGAGTCTTCACATGAAGTATCAATGCTATCACATCTATCTATACACAGGGTAGATTGGGACAGGCAACTTAGAAATTGGCTACCTAAAATGGGGCAATAAAGGCACGAAGTGACTGGCTTATAAGGTTTCAAGAGGGAGTTTAAGAGTATGAGGGAAAAGAAAGAGTCCCCACTGAATAGCTGTCAATTTGTCGAGATGGTCCTGGTGAAAAGAGATGGGGATAAGATTTGTATGATTCAATAGTGAGTAATTACTATCATGACTAATTGCAACTGTCAACTATTGTAAAGGTAGAAGTAACAGAAACGGGAGCAGTTAATCTTACAGTCCAGAAACAGGACCATTGAGAGAGAAGCGCACAAGCAGAATGCAGGATCTTATCCAGAGGAGCAATGCCAGAAGATGGGGGCATGGAGAGGGGGAGTGGCTGAGGACTCTAGACTCATGGACTAAGAAGAGAGGGACTAAGAGCTGGTGGCTAGGAGGCAGACTTGTAGAATGTGCCCTTTTGATATGTAAATTATATATACCTGAAGGGGTTTTTTTGTTGTTCTTTGTTATTTATAAAAGCTAAAGTGAACTGAGAGAAATACTTGTTAACTGATGGTACATGGAGGGGATTATAATCATTGTAATGAAACAAGGTGTGTGATTTATTGAATGTAAAACTGATGATATGCCCTGTAAACTTTCATTCAATCTACAATAAAAAACCTTAAAAAAATAAACAAAGACGCATATGATCAAGAGGCAATGATACTGAAGGAAGAAGTCCAAGGTGCATTGAAGGCATTGACAAAGAACAAAGCACTAGGAATTAATGGAATACAAATTGAAATCCTTCCACAAACTGATGTGACACTGGAGGCACTCATTGATCTATGCCAAGAAATTTGGAAGACAGCTACCTGGCCAACTGTATGGAAGAGATCCGTATCTGTACCCATTCCAAAGAGAGATGACTCAACAGACTGTAGAAATCGTCAGACAATGTCATTGATACCCCAGAGAAGTAAAATTTTATGGAAGATAATACAAAAACAGCTGTAACATACATTGACAGAATTTTCAGAGGTTCATGCAGGATTCAGAAGAGGATGTGGAACAAAGGATGTAATTGCTGACGTCAGGTGGGTCTTCACTTACAACAGAATACCGGAAAGATGTTTACTTGTGGTTTATTGACTATGCAAAGACTTTTGATTGTGTAGATCTTGACAAGCTATGGACAGCAACTTGCACTATGCAGATGATACAACTTTGCTTGCTGAAAGTAAAAAGGACTTAAATGATGAAGTTCAAAGACCACAGCCTTCAGTATGGATTTATCTCATGTAAAGAATACAAAAATCCTCACCACTGGACTATAATAAACAATATATAAATGGGGAAAAGATTGAAGTTGTCAAAGACTTCATTTTGCTTAGATCAACCATCAACACTCATAGAAGCAGCAGTCAAGAAATCAAACAATGTATTGCATTAAGCAGATCTGCATAAGACCTCTTTATTTAAAGTGTTGATGAGCAAAGATGTCAGTTTGAGGACTAAGATGCACCTGATCCACACTATGGTATTTTCAAAAACCTCATATGCATGTGAAAGTTGGACAGTGAATAAGAAAGACCAGAGAAGAATTGATGCATTTGAGGTTATGGTGTTGGAGGAGAATATTGAAAGTAATGTGGACTGCCAAAAGAACAAATAGATCTGTGTTGGAAGAAGTACTTCCAGGATGGTCCTTGGGGGCCAGGATGGCCAAACTTCATCTCTCACACTTCAGGCATATCAGGAGGTACCAGTCACTGGCGAAATGGGATACCATGTTTGGTAAAGTGGAGCGTTGGAGAAAAAGAAGACCCCCAATTAGATGGATTGGCACAGTGGCAGCAATAATGGGCTCGGGTAGCAACAATTGTGGGGTTGGCAGAGGACCAGGCAGTGTTTCGTTTTGTTGTGCATAAGGTCACTGTTAATCAGTAGTAACTCGATAGCACCTACCAACATCTTGTTAGTTTGTGTAAGCTGAAATTGTCTGTTTTCTCCAAGACATTGTGGTGCCGTTTTATTTATTATATTTAATCGATGATTAAACATGTTGGTCTGTTGTCAGGCACTCACTGCTTCTTTCCTAGTGGATGTGATAGAGACTGGAAGGAAGTGTGAACACAGTTCTCAGTTCACTGTGTAGTGTGGCTCAGGGCGTGTTCATAGGCCTCCAGAAGGAACCCAGGCAGAGGCTGGTGCCACTGGCCACTGTGTTGGCGATGGCAGCACTGCTCACACCCCAGCTACATCCCCCTTGTCTGTCACCTGCAGGCCGCTGTGTCTGCCACCAACTGCAGACGTTCAAGATGACGGTCACTCCATTCTACACCAGTGATGATGATGTTGTTAAGTGCAGTCGAGTCGGTTCCTACCCATAGCAACCCTGAACCGGGTTTCCAAGGCTGTAAATCTTTATGGGAGCAGAACACCTCATCTTTTTCCCACGGAGCAGCTGGTAGTTTCGAGTTGTTGACCTTGTGGTTCGCAGCCCGATTTGTAACCACTACACTACCAGAGCACCAGTGATAGTTTACCTGTATTACTAATGTCTTGTTGCTCCTCTTGAGCTTCCTCTTTCAGTCAGCATTCAGTCCACCTCTCTGTTCTGTTTTCTGGAACTCAGTGTTCAAGGATCACCATCTGTATTTATTTCACTTACTCTCCCATATTGTCGCTTAGTGCTTCTACCTATTCTGCCATCTTGCCTGACTCACTACTGCAAATTAGTTTTCCATTCAACAGTTTATACACTTTATCCCCATATTAGTTACAATTCCCTCAATATAATAACGTTCTTCTGTTTCTTCTATTCCATTTGTCGTTTCCTACCCCTTCCTACCTTCTGAGCCTTTTTTTTTTTTGGAGCAATTGCTGCCCTTTGGGTCTTATGGTTAATGGTTCTGAGATATACTTTCTTCACAAGTGATACTGTTAACTATGTTGTTTGATGTGCAGTGGTGTGTCATAACAGTCTACAGAGCTAACATTTGGCTGTAAGCTATTTCCGGCATGGGTCCAGGTTTGAACAGGGTGTCTAAGGGCCACAGTTTCAGGGGTCTCATTGTATCCAGGATTTTCTGTGCTCCTGATCAGAGTGGTTGGCAGTCGTGGCTAGACACCATCCAGTTCTTCAGGTTTCTGGTTCACATGGTTCATGAGTCTTTTGTATTGTTTCCATGAGTCTTTTTTAAATATTATAAATTTCAGTCTAACGGTAGTAGAAATGGACAGTTGGAGGGAGTCCCCCTGTGCCCAGCAGGCCCAGGGTGTGAATAGCTGAGTGCTAGTGTGGCCTGTGGCCTCTTAGTACTGCTCAGTATGGTGGAGGAGGGCTTTGGTGACTCTCTGTACAGCCAGTCTCTGCAGGATGGTGTCTGGGCCTGGCACAAGGACCTCCAGGCACCCAACCCTCAGAAAGTGCTCAACAGAACTACTTTCAGTAGCAACTTAGTATCTCAACAGCTGCTCTGTTGACCCTTTCTGTTGCAGGTTTCTGTCTGACGAAGACAGTCTGGAGTATAAGTATTACAAGCTGAGGTTGGCAGAAGTGCAACGGGGAAAGCAGGTCCCAAGCAGCGATGGCCGGCAGCCAGACAGAGCAGAGTGTGCCGTCAGGGCCATGCTGTACGCCAAGGCTGTGCACAACCTCAAAAAGCGGCTTCTCCCGGGGCGGCGGCGACGAGGCCTTCTCCGAGCCCAGGGATTTCGAGGCTGGAAGTCAAAGAGTGCAACCCCCAGCACCCATATGTTCCTCTCATTGGGCACCAAGCTGCGCCACCAGGGTCGGGGTGGTTCTGCCAAGCCACATAAAGAGACCACTTCGCGGAACGGCTCACCAGAGCCAGCTGTACCTGCTCCTCAGGAGCCCAGCGTGGGGGCCTTGAGCCCACCTCCCAAACCAGAAGGAATGGATGTTCCTGAAGCCTCTCAGACAGCCTCTCCTTGCCAATCTGCTGTCGGTGAGTGCCACTCCCTCCTCTCCCCTAGTCCCGCCCCATCCCGAGATCTCAAGGCTCCCCAGAGGGGTGGTGGCCTTTGCAGTCTGGTGAGGCTGGTCAGTGAGAAGCCTGCCAGAACAGGTACATAGAAGTGCCCCCCTGTGACTTCCTCATCATACCTACATGGAAAGTCCCATCTGGGCTTGCTCTCCTGGGGCTGCTGTTGGCCCTCCACCTGCTTCTTCACCCCCTAGGTCTTCAGCTCCCTCCTCCAGGCTGGCCGAGCTATGGGTTCCCCCGAGTGGTGACATGGCCTCCACCGAGGCCTTTCCCTGTGGACTGAGCTTACTTCTTGGTAGTGGGAGAGGTGGGAGCCCCACCCTGCATAGCCACCATTGCTGCATGGCAGACTACCCAGAACAGAGACTGCACAAGGGGAGGGGGCGCCAAGGCTGCAACAGAAGTCCTGGGACACTATCTTAGATGATGAGGTGACAGGACTGTATCTGCTGACAGGTGGGTTCTGGGCACAGGACCAGCCACATCTGCCTGGTGTTGGGCAGTGGGGCTGCCTGTGACAAGGTTGTCCAGCAGAGCATGCAGAGCCAGTCCTGACAGTGCCTTATGCTTGCAGTTGATGCAAAGACAATGGAGACGGCGGAGAAGCTGGCACGATTTGTTGCACAGGTGGGACCAGAGATCGAGCAGTTCAGCATTGAGAATAGTGCTGACAACCCTGACCTATGGTATGTACTGCGTGGCCAGTGCAGGGTGTCTGGAGAATTGGGGACTCTTCCATTGCAAGGAGTGGAACACACTGTAGCAGAAGCTTCTAGACTTTCTGGTACACAGCCCAGAGAGATGTTTTTTTGAGACCTAAGACTGAGTTGCAGTTGGCCAGGGGAGAGAAGCGAAGGGTCATTTGGGGCAGAGGCACCTGCCTACATGTCCAGGAAACTGCACAGAGCTAAGAGGGAAAAGGCCAGCCTTTTGGGGCATGTGGGCCACAGTGGCTCCAACTTGGCCCAAGGAATTGGGAAGCCTGAGAAGAGTTGGCCCCCGTCATGCTAGTTTTTATGGTAAGGGGAAGCTCATGGTCACTGCTGGGCCCTGAGTCCTCAGCTCTAACCTGGGTCCTAGTGATGGATGATTGCATGGTGATGCCATCCCCATGGGAAGTGGGGCCATGGGGTAGTTACCTCCCTATTTCTGAAGAGTGGGATGCTAAAGATTGGGACTGGATACTGCTTCTCTGACTCCAAGAGCTGCCATACTCCAGCCTATGCTGGTTGTGAGGTGACACTGTGTAGGGAAGTCAGGTTCATTATATCATCCTGCCGCCAGCTACACCCCCTCTGACCTGTGCCTCTTCTTTCATTTCAGGTTCCTGCATGACCAGAACAGCTCAGCTTTCAAGTTCTATCGGATGAAAGTGTTTGAACTTTGCCCCTCAATTTGTTTTTCTTCATCTCCACTCACCATTCAAGCAGACACCCGGGAGGGAGACAAAGCCTCTAAGGCTGAACGCCCTGTGCAGGAGGCTGAGCTGGAAGAGGAGGAAGAAGAGGAAGAGGAGGAGGCACCTGCATCAGGGGAGGCCCCTGGGCCAGGAGTAGAGGCCAACACATCTGGGGTCTCTAAGAGTGGTACCCCTACTGATGGCCTCCCAAGTGTGGCCACAGAGGACACCCCAGTCAGCACCCCAACCCCGTCTCAAGCCTCCACAGGGATCTGTTTTCCACGAAAGAGGGTCAGCAGCAAATCACTAAAGGTCGGCATGATTCCAGCTCCCAAGAGGGTTTGTCTCATCCAAGAGCCCAAAGGTGAGAGCCGGAGGGGTAGAGGGGTCTCCATGCTCCCTCACCTAAGGGGGATGTATAAGCATATGGATGCCCTGTACCCCTTGCTTCCTGGCCTGACCTCTTCTTGCCTCTGCCTGTACCCTGACCTTGGTGATCTGCTCTGACCTTTCAACCCTAGAGTAGTGTGTTGGCAAATACCCACGTCTGCACTCCCATATCCGGTGACTTTCTAGTTGTGTGTTGTTGGTTGGAAACGAAGGATTAGTAGTTTTAAAATATGGCCTGGTGATAGAAATTGTGCTGAAGATCACATGCTAGAATTTTACAAGACTGATTATTCATTGCACATATTTTTTTTTTTCAACATCATAAAAGGTGAGCGTATACATGTGGACCTCACCAAATGGAATCAAATTGACTATATCTGTGAGAGAGATGATGGAGAAATTCAGTATCATTAGACCAACTGTGGAACAGACCATGAATTTCTCATATGCAAGTTAAGGCTGAAGCTGAAGAAAATTAAAACAAGTCCATGAGAGCCAAAATATCTTGAGTATCCACCTGAATTTAAAGACCATCTCAAGAACAGATTTGATGCATTAGACACCAGAGACCAAAAGAATTGTGATAGAACTTCGAGAACAACATACAGGAAGAAAACAAAAAGAAAAAAAGACAAAATGGATGTCAGAAGAGACTCTGGAACTTCCTCTTGAATGTAGGGAAGCTAAAGCAACAGTAAGAAATGATGAAATAAAAGAGCTGAACAGAAATTTCAAAGGGTAACTCTAGAAGACTAGGTATTATAATGAAATGTGAAAAGACCTAGAGCTACAAAACCAAAGGGAAGAACACAGTTTCTCAAATTGAAAGAATTGAAGGGAAAAAAATCAAAACTTGACTTTGTAGTATTGAAGGATTCTCTGAACAAAGTAGACTACTGATGATGTGGCACTGTAGGATCAGTACTGGACTGGGAACCACAGGCTGACAGCTCAAACCTACCAGCTGCTCCTTGGAAACCCTATACAGGATCTCTAGAAGTCGGAACTGACTCAACGGGACTTAAAAACAAATGAACAAAATATTAAATGTTGTGGAAAGCATAAAAAGATGATAGAAATACAGAGATTCATTGTACTAAATATAATTGGTCAGTGATCAACCATTTCAAGAGATAGCATATGATCAAGAACTAATGGTATTTAAGAAGTCCAAGTTGTACTGAAGGAATTGATGGAAAACGGCTCCATGAATTGATGAAACATTAACTGAAATGTTTCAACAAACTGATAATAGTGCTGGAGGCACTCGTTTATGCCAAGAAATTTGGAAGACAGGTACCTGCCACCTGATTGGAAGAGGTCCCATTTGTGCCCATTCTAAAGAAAGGTGACCCAGTGGAATGTAGAAATCATCTAACGTTATCATTACTACACATCTAAGTAAAATTTTGCTGAAGATAATTTCAGCAGTACATCCAACAAAAAGCTGCCAGAAATTCAAGCCAGATTCAGAAGAGGATGTGGAACAAGGAGTATTATAGCTGATGTCAGTTGCATGTTGGCTGGAAGATGTTTACTTGTGCTTTATTGACTTTGCAAAGGCTTTCAGCTGTGGATCATGACAGACTATGGATAACATTGAGAAGAATGGGTATTCCAGACAACTTAAGTGTGCTCATGAGGAACCTGTACATAGAACCAAACCAGAGACAGTCGTTAAAACGAAACAAGGAGATAGTGAATGACAAATAGGAAAGATGTATGCCAGCATTGTATTCTTTTACCATACTTAAATTGAATCTCTCTACTGAGCAGATAATTCAAGAAGCTAAATTATATGAAGAAGAGTGTGGTATCAGGACTGGATGGAGATTCATTAACAACCTGCGATCGGCAGATGACACAACCTTGCTGAAGGCATAGAGGACTTGAAATACTTACTGGTGAAGATCAGAGACAACCTTCACTGTGGGTTGTACCTCAATATGAAGAAAACAAAGATCCTCACCTCTGGGCTAATAAATAACATCAAGACATGGAGAAAAGTTGAGTTTGTCAAAGACTTCATTTTACTCAGATCAACCATCAACACTTAGGGAAGCAGCAGTCAAGAAATCATTATTGCATTAATGTGTATTGCATTAATCTGCACAAGATCTCTTTAAAGTGTTTTAAGAGCAAAGATGTGAATTTGAGGACTAAGGTGGGCCTGACAACCCCATTGTTTTTTCATTCTCATGCATAATGAAAGTTGGACAATGAATATGGAATAGTTGATGTGAATATTGAAAGTACGGACTTCCAGAAGAGCCAACAAATCCGTGTTGCAAGAAGTGTAGCCAGAATGCTCCTTAAAAGCCAGGATGGTGATAACTTCTTTGTCTCTAGTACTTTGGACATATTGTCAGGAGGGACCCGTCCTTGGAGAAGGACATCATGCTTGGTAAAATGGATGGTCAACTAAAAGAAGAAGACCCCCAATTAGATGGATAAAAGTGGCAGCAGCAGTGGGCTCAAAACAAAACTTGTGAGGACAATGCAGGATTAGGCAGTGTTTCATTCTGATACACATAGGATTGCTAGCACTGACTTAGTGGCACCTAACAACAACAAACTGTCATTCAATGGAATCAAGTTAGGCTTGACCTTCTGTGTCAAGGATGGAGGCATCTTCACCCTTCTTACCAAGGCTGCTTCTCCCACCCCCACCCACCTGTGGTGTCTTGAGAGTGAGGGTTGTGTACTGTCCTCATTCTCCAGATGCTTACCAGTCCCCGTCCCACCCTACCAACCTGTTGTCACAGTCCTACATTGGAAAAATCCCTCCAGGGTTGTTCTCAAGAGCCAGGTGAACACAATGGACCTCCAGCTATTGTGCCACACCTCGAGTCCTTCGCACATATCCCGGGTCAGAACTGTGTGTCAGAACTCAGTGTGTCCTCGGGAAGTAGAAATCTCAAGAGTTCTAGATTCTTTGAATGCCAACTTGATCTTCATCAAAAAGTCACACCCTGGTTGAAAAGCCAGGGGAATGAATGGTTATATGTTTGCTGCGTGGACACTGCTAGCAGTAATCCATCCATTGAAGCAAAATCTGTTCCTGCTGTCATGGCAGGTAGTCCACATGTCAGCTCCTTTGCTACAAACTTGGGGTTTCACTTTTGGTGGAGTTTCATTCCTCAAGTGAGGTGTACCTTGGCTGTACCATGCTAAGGCCTTATGACTGCAAGTGTGGCTGTGGAGGAGGGGGACAAGAGTGGGAGGGAGCATGTAGATCAAAGGTACTTGCTGTCATCAGAAGCTGTGAATGAGCCTTACGTTTCTCCCCTCAATAATTTGGGCAACAGTATGTATGTGTACTTTTCTTTTTTGTCTTCCAGTTCATGAGCCAGTTCGAATTGCCTATGACCGGCCCCGAGGTCGTCCCATGTCCAAAAAGAAGGTGAGATTGCCCTTTTCCATGAGTCCTCACAAGCAGAGCAGTCAGCTCTTGGGAGTGGGGGGTAGTTCATGGACACTGTAGCTTCCTATTTCCACTAAGATGTGAGCACATGTCAAGCACAGTAGGCCACCTCTCCTTCCCAAGGCCATGCGAGGTAAGTCAGCTGGTTAGGAGCTTGCACCTCTGAGGGCAAGCCTCAGAAGCCAGACAGGCCCAATGCCACTTCCCTCACTGCGCTTATAGGACCTTGTTTGGAGTCCCTGGCTTGCTCCTCAGCCATGCTCTTTTGGCCCCTTGGCTCTGGTGCAGTGGAACCTGGTGCCTGAGCATCCAGATGTAAACAGCCCCATGGGGACATCCCTCAGCTGAGGACATCTTGGGGCTTACGTGATGGGACTGGTCATGGGCTGGCAAAGGGAGGCAGCCAATACACACTCTTTTGGACTGAATCCTGCTGGGACTCCTGTTCTGTGTGGTGCTGGCTGGTGTCCATCGTTGCCTCCTTGTGCGTGCTACCTGACCAATGGCAGAGCCAGCTGCCAGTTCAGGCTACTTACTCCCTGAGGTGGATTATGGGGTTCCCCAAGTCCATATAAAGCCATTCCCTACCCTCAGAGCACTTCCAGATGGGGACGGAAGGACAGTTAGGCCGCCCTGCTTACTGCACAGTGCCTGCTTCCAGGGTATGGATACTGCCAGAGCTCTGCAGGACATACAGGAGTTAATGAATCAGCGGGAGCACAGGTTCAGGCTGAAAGGAGCCAAACTCGAGGAGGGCAGGGCATACTGGTGCTTTCAAACTTTCACAGTGATTTGTCCTCCAGCCTTAGGCAACACCCTCTACATCTATACCCTAGGCTCCCTTGCCTGGGTGCAACCCTGCCTTACTGTGGTCTGTGCTCAGAGTTCTACTTATTCGCCTGAGGCCTCAGGACCCACCACCCCCAGACAACTGTCTCTCAGTCCTGGCACCACTGCCAGTCATAGCAGATCTGAGAGGCTAGGCAGAATTGGGCAGCTTCATCTACCTTGTTGGGGCTTCAGGCCAGTGACCACCTCGCCTGGGCTCTGATAGCTCAGATCCCAAAACTCCACATAGGGATGTTGGAGACCCCAAAATATTGACTCCACATTCTGCTGCATTTGCCACATCAACCGTGCTGCACTCGGTATGAACAGTAGGTGGGAGCCGAGCCTAGGGGTATGAGTTTGGTCTTGTTCAGGCAGTTTGCTGTGACCTCATGTTGGGAGTTTGAGGAGCCAAGCCCCTTGGCTGAGAGACATTTCTTGGGAAGAAACTGATTCTACATGCCTTCTTTGCCCAGAAGCCCAAGGACTTGGAATTCGCTCAGCAGAAGCTGACAGACAAGAACGTGGGCTTCCAGATGCTCCAGAAGATGGGCTGGAAGGAGGGCCACGGCCTGGGCTCCTGTGGAGGTGGCATCCGAGAGCCAGTCAGCGTGTATGTAGCCGGTACCCAGGGGAGGGTGCTGTGGTAGTTCACAGGCAGCACCATGCCATGGGAAGGGCTGAGTGGGGAATTCCTTTAGTCCTTTGACCTGAGTTAGATGATGGTTCTCTTGTGCTGGAGACAGGCTGACAGCCACCATACTTCTAATTTTAACAAGAGTTCAAATGCAAGGCTCACTGTCCACACACATAGCTCCACTCTATACCTGTTCCAGCTATGAGTGATTTTTCTGTCCTGTCATGACAGCCGAGTATATGTTTCCAACTTTCATATTCCAATCACTAGTAAATTATTAAAGGAGCTCTGGTAGCATAGTGGTTATGAATAGGGCTGCTAACCTCAAGGTCAACAGTTCGAAACTACCAGCTCCTATTTTCCAGGACCCCATCACTGCAGCTGTTGAGAGAGCCCAGCCCGGGGCTGTCGTCACGCTTACACCCACAGACTAAATTAAATTGCTCGGCCACTGACGGCGCAGTCTGACGTGCAGCCAAGTGACCAGGGTCGCTATGAAGCATCTAGGTCAGCATCCCTGCAGGCAGGAGAGTGCCTTCCTACATGCAGGGCTGACTTTGTGCTTTCTCCTGCAGGGGGACTGCCTCAGAAGGTGAGGGGCTGGGGGCTGATGGGCAGGAGCATAAAGAAGACACCTTTGATGTCTTCCGCCAGAGGATGATGCAGATGTACAGACACAAGCGAGCAAACAAGTAGGTATGTGCACCCAGGGTGCCAACTCAAGCTAGTCTGAGATAGACGTTCCCTCCAGAAACGTCACTCTTCCCACCCCTACACATAACATCCCACCCTTAGACATAGAACCCGGATCTGGAAGGAAAGCAGGAAATTTTCAGTGTGGATCTGTGCAACCCACTGCTTCCCAGGGCTGGCTGAAGGAATGAGTTGAATTCAGCTGCCTGTGCACTTCCCATCCAGGACCCAGAAGAGCCGTGCACACGGGCTCAAGGCTTGCTCCCTGCTATATACATGCAATGGGCTGCCTGTGTGGCTTCTGTCACTCAAGTTGTCTCACAGATGACAACCGCCCACCCTGTACTGCCAACAGGAAACAGGCTGTTCCTCAGTTGAGAATGGACTTGCTGTCCCAGGAGGTGGTGGGTGGGCCTGGACACCAGTGCTGTGGGGTGGGCAGCTTGCCCAGCCCTTCCTAGGGTCCTTGGGTCCTTCTTCCAAAAAGAGTCGGCCTCATCATTGTCCTCGTTATTTCAACTCTTTTAACTGTTCCCCTCTCTGTATCCCTAAGTTTCAACTCAGTTTTGAACAAAATTGTTCTCTTCCTATGAGAGATGGAAGTCTGAAGCAATTTCTCTAACCTCGTGCTGCTGACCCAGAGCCCAGCTGCAGACGGCTAGGGAGCATCTGGTACGAGCTGTGTGGCTTGACTTTCTTTGAATAGTACAGAATATGCCATTTCAGATATGCTGATTGTTCGGTTTCCTCTAAGTGCCTGTAGCAGTAGGCCTTGCAGGTCCTCCTCTGTTCCCTCTTCAGAAGCTATGCCATCCGCCAGCCCCTTTTCCAGTGCAAGGGAGCAGCTCTTCATAACAGAAAGGCTCTATCCACATGCAGGATGCAGAAGCAATTTCAGATCCTGGGTTCTGACTGTTCTCCAGAGTACAGATGGGGTGTGAACCACAAGCTTTGGAAGCTCTTGTAGCAGGTGGAGAGATTTGATGTGTAAGAGTGTTTTGTGGGGGGTGGGGGCCTCGTGTGGGATAATGAACCCAAGAGGCCAACAGAATCTCAACCCAGCACAGTAGGTCTGGTTTTAGTGGGGGAACTGCCAGCAGCTTGACGCTGCATGCCTGCATGTCTTCTCAGAATCCATAGACAAGCTACAGTGGGGTCCTCCTCCAGAGGAGTGGGAGCAAGTCCTCAGGACACCCTGCTTCTGCCTCAGAGGAAAAGAAACTGAAGGTCGGGTATAGGAAGCAGGGCTGCAGCTGGTTGTCATTTCGAGCATCTCATGCGCCTTTAGACTCTCATTGTTGCTTTCTCTGACTGCATGCAGATGCTCCTGCATAGAACTCCTGGTGGTGTTTTAAACTAATGTGAAAGTCTGGGTTCCTGCTGACAACACCTGAGCATCGAGCTCCCACCTGAGGCCCAGGACACAGAGTGTAGCATCCTCAGCCCCCCACACTGCCATCCTCACCCTCTAGCTTATTTGCTGTTTGGGGCTCCATCGGACCCCAGGTCGTGTTTCTCAGGTTTTTCTTTGGGTCTGGTGTAGCCACCAAGTAGAGGGATCCCCACGGCTGCCCCCACAAATGCTTCTAGAGGCTTTTGTGACTTCAGCAGCCAGTATGTGTCCATAATCTTGGAAAAGTGATGCTGGTCAGCCCTGAGGGCAAACCACATGCCACAGAGTCGATCTTAGGACACAGGCGTTGGCAGGTAGTAGCCCTCCTAGCATGTTCCCTGCCGACCTGGATGGAAACAAGCCTGGGACTCAGTGGTCTTTGAAGGTGCCTGGCCCCTTCCTACCTCCTGGAGGCTAGCACCAAGGCAGTGACTCTGGTTCACTGTCCTCTCTGCCTTCAAGTTGGCTGTAACTAGCACATTCATTTTTGACACTATACTTTTATGAATAAATGAAGTAATTAAAAATTTCCCAGGCATGGACATTATCCATTTCAGCCACCTCTCCTTGGTTTGTCCTGAGACTATGGACTTCGTACGCCACAAAGATAATGACCTGGAGAGTCCTCACAGACAGGATGCTAGACCCCAGTGGGAATGACGTTCTCTGGGGACCAGTGTTGGTGCTTGTGTTGTGGCTCTTGGGTTACTCTCGCTCCCTTGGTGTATCCATGTAGACTTAATAGCACCCAGTCGAACCCGACCACTATGCCTGTGTACGGTTCTTCAGAGTCATGTGTTTTCTTTTGTTGTTCTAGTTCCAGGGTCTCCTGGGAGGATGCCTGACTTTGAGAAGTGTTGGCTGGGTGCTCCTCTGCTTCTCTGTCGCTGGAATCCATGGGGGTCTCAGTCTATTTGGTCCTTGGTAAACCTAGATGATGTTGTAGTGTTACAAAGGGATACTGTTGTTGTGAATGTTGTTCATCTTGTAGCAGTCACAATAAACGTAGAGGAAACCAAGCTTCAGTAGTCTCTGTGTATGCATCCTTAACATCAGACCAGTGGGAGGTGCTCTTAGGGGGGGCCTCTCCTCATTGGCCTCTGAAGTCACTAGGGACGCCCCAATGTTGGGTTTGTGAGCACAGAAAACAGCTGAGGGTTGGGGAGGGAGGTCTCTTCCCACTGACCCCAACTCCCTGCTGCCCCTAGAACGTCACCCACTCCGGAGTCCCCAAGCCAAGCTGCTGTCTGTTGCCCCCGCCACACCCTGGCTGAGGAGCCCAGGCTCTCAGGGGTCTACAGAGCCCCTACTTGCCCTGGGCCATCCACAGTTGCCCTGGGCTGGCAGGTACAAAGTGGGGTTGTAGATGCTTCTGGGCCCTGCATAGTTGTGTGGTCATTTGGTGTCTTGCCAGAGTTGCATAGAGAGTTACATGGTCTCCCAGAGTTGCTACAAGACCCCCAGCCTACTCTTTGGCCAATTCCTGATGGATGACTATGATTAGAAACTCATATGGTTTAGGGACCTCCCACATGTTGCTGTCACCCAATTGAGTGTGTGTGTGTCTGTCTGCTTCGCAGGTGAAGGCCTGCAGGACTCAGTATTCCAGGCAGCTGTTAAGGTGACCAGTGTGCACTTAACCATGTTCCTCTCAGGATTACTCCCTGAGAAAGTCCTCCTAGCACCAAAAGGCAGCAGCTCAGGGGAGTGTTCTCTGTCAGTTCCACCTCACTACCCCAGGGGCTGGCAGCCAAGTGTACCTTTGTAGCCTGGGAGATACCTCCATGCCCTTCAACCCAGCCCAGTACCTCCTCTGCCTCCTGCTCCCGGTGTCCCACTGCCTGGCTTTTAGAAGAATACCAACACCTTGTGGGGAGACAAGTGAGAAGAGCCCCAGGCCAATGAGTTTCAGAGCAGGCCTTTGCTGTGTGCATAGTTCCACAGCAGTCTGTGTGCATATGTACATGAGTGCACATTGCATGTGGTTAGACCTGTGTGCATGTGCACGTGTTGCTGTGCATGTATGTTACAACACATATCTGCATAAATGGCGTATGCACCTGTGTGTACATATGCATGCAGATCAAGCATATGTGCACGCATTCACATTCAAGAGTCACATGAGTGTATTTTCTATGTGGAAGAATCAAACACAAAAAACGAAGCCCAGATATATGCAGGATAGAGCACTGAGGCCCCCCCTTCTCCCCTGCCTCCCTGAGTATCTTAAAACAATGAAAGAAGCCCCACCATGCTTAGAGGTTCGGGTTGCTTCCTCACCCAGCAGTGAGCTTAGAGACCTTTTCAAGTGAGTTAGATTTCTGTAATATTTGAATAGATGTTTGTTAAGTGCCCTTGTCAATTCCAACTCATAGCCACCCTATATAACAAAACATTAGCCAGTCCTGCACCGTCCTCACAATTAGTGCTATGTTTGAGCCAAGTGTTTCCAGCCACTGTGAATCCCATCTCTTTGAGAGTCTTCCTCTTCTCTTGCTGACCTATACCAAGCATTGGAGGAGAATATTAAAAGTACCATGGACTGCGAGAACAAACAAATCTGTTGGGAGAAGTACAGCCAGAGTGTTCCTTAGAAGCCGGACTTCGTCTCTTATACTTCATACTATTAGGGACAAGGACATCATGCTTGATAAAATGGAGGGTCATTTTATCAGTGGACACGCATAGCAGCTAGAGTGAGATTGGCACAGAACCAGGCAGTGCTTCCTTCTGTTGTGTGTAAGAGCGCTAGGAACTTGTACTGCTCTATGGCCCCTAATAACAAGCATTATGTCCTTTTCCAGGGACTGATCACTCCTGATAACATGTCCAAAGTACCTTTCTTGCTTCTAAGGAGTATTTTTGGTGTTAGGTGCCATTGAGTCAGTTCCAACTACAGTAACCATACCTTACAACAGAACGGAACGTTGCCAGTTCTGTGCCATCCTCACAAATTGCTGTTTGAGCCCATTGTTGCAGCCACAGTGTCAGTCCATCTTGTTGGGGTTCTTCCTCATTTTCACCAACACTTTACCAAGCAGGATGTCTTTCCAAGAACTGCTCCCTCCTGATAATTTTTCTGAAGTTCTAGAGACAAAGTCTCACCTCCGTGTTTTCCAAGGAACAATCTGACCATACTTCAACCAAAACATTAGTTCTGGCCTTTCATGGTATGTTCAATATTCTTTGCCAATGCCGTTACTCCAATGTATCAATTCTATGGTCTTCCTCACGGTTCAGCTTTCCCATGTATATGAGGTGGCAAGGCAGGGTCAGGTGCGCCTTAGTCTTCACAGTGACATCTTTGTTCTTTGACACTTCAAAGAAATTTTTTGTAGCAGATGTGCCCAATGCAATACCTTATTTGATTTCTTAACTGCTGCTTCCATGGGCATTCTGGATCCAAGTAAAATGGTACCTTTGACGTCATTCCCAGCATAGTAGACCATATGTCCTATTCCAGATGGTCAGTTCATTTCAATTCACTAATGCCTAGGATACCTAACTTCAAGTACTCCATTTAATTTTTTACAACTTCCAATTTTCCTAGATTCATACTTCATACATTTCACAAACCGTTAAAGAATGTTTGCAGCTGTTTCCTCTCATT